AAGTTTGCTTTTTAAAGCATTTTCTCGAGCGATGGCTAGCACTCAGATCTTGTTCTTTCCATCTAATGTGAATACTTCTTCATTTTAAGTAAACGAAAAAAGTTAATCAGTCGTTACTCTCTTCTCATTTTCTCATTTACATGAGAACTGTAGTTTTATTATTTTCATCAGTTTTGCTGTAATTTTCTTTTTTCACTTAAGAAAATGTAAATTATTACTCTGTGCAAATTACTAATAATCTTTTCAAATGACTCTTTTCTCCTATGCATTATATAATAGGCGCTGACTGCCTTCACTCAATTCCCTGTGGTACACTTGAAATCCCATACCTTTTTCGAGTTCTATAAAATTTGAAATATCATTTTAATTGTCAAAAATTAACGAAAATTACGCTGCTTTCTGCACTACATGTAATGCCTACCTTCTGAATTTCCCAGCACATTTTTTCGAATATTCAACTTAAAAAATAGGTTTCTGTTGTGTAAAAAAAAAAAACGTAGATAATGTCTACGTGATAAGTGTTAAAGGTAAGTGACACTTTCCCATAAATTTGCATGCTCATATCACATTTTGAGTAAATAAAATGAGCGAATAATCTCATACACAATTGTTGAGAATGTTTGCAGACTTTTTGCATGCAGCTTTTATTTTATAGATCAGATCGCTTAGCACCAGACATTTCAAATTAAAGCATCAACTTCAGTTAACAGGACAAGAGTTCCTCGTAACATCGCCAAATAAAGACACTCGCGTCAAGTCAACATTTTTCCGTTTTCGTGGCTTTGTTCCCAAATTTAAAACCCGGACACAACCCAGAAATCCTTCTGCAAAATGTGCTGAGTAGAAATTTAAGAGTTAAAATATGAAATTTAGTGGTTTCTCCAGAGCAGAGCATACCTGAAGTTTCGAGACTTCTTGGTCTGGTACCTTTTGGAATACCACCCAAATATAATGGATCCTTCGTATTCGTATCTGTCTTTTTGCCTTTCTTCATGATGCTCAAATTACTTCTCCCATCAACAGTCAAAGTCATAAGATTTTTCGTTTTGTAAAGCTGCAAGTATTGTAGAGTATTCGATAATAAAATTTAAATAGTGATGATTTCATTACAGATAAGTAGCACTTACCTTTATATGGTGCCAATGGCCATCGCAAAGGGCATTACTTGAGCTAGGTATGTGTGATACTATTTCCGGACCTGCTCCATTGTCCACTGTGAACTTGACCGTGCCATTGAAGAACTGAAGCGTTAGATATTCGAGTACACCAACTGATAATAAAACGCCGGTTTTGGTTCGTGAACGCACTTCCAGCTCAATATTGAAAGATGATCCAACCTAAGAAATTAATTTGACTGACTATGTTTTAATTTTCAATCGAAAAAGAAACTTATAAGGGAAGTTTTACAGTTAACTTAGCCTAATATTATATGTATGCTACTCCGTTCACAAAATTGTCAGTAAAAACTGCAATTAGAATAAGAGCGAATCGACGGATATCCTGGTATACGATAAGAAGCGACGTGAAGTAATCCTGCTTGAGGTTGGCATCACTAGTCAAAACAGGTTGACAGCAGTCGAGACCGAGAAAAAGTGGAAATATGACCTATTTGCTAATAAGCTTGGGTCAGAGATGAAATACAGGACCAAAATAATTCCGTATGTGATGACTTGGGATTGTAACGAACTTCAACAAATGCTATGCGAAGGAGATTAGTATATCTGACCACGTCGAGGCACATATGATCGATCCTTCTCAAGAAGACACTCGAAAGTCTCTCCTTCGACAGTCGATATGGATTCCACGAGGGCCAAGCAAGAACGATGGGTACAACAAATCTGAGAGCAGGACAAGTACTGCCAGAGTGGCGGAATGCGATCCAGCGCCAGAACCAATAAAGCGGAAATTAAGACTAACCTCCAAATTTTAATAATTTATTTATATATATGAGTAACACAATTCGAATATCATACCTTCAAATTTTTACTCAGTATAGCATAGCCACCATTCTCGCCAAAGTAGAGGCCTTCTTCGGTGTTCTGACTACAAGGTACAGTACCTATTTCAGCTGGTGGCACATCAAATTTCATTTCGTTCAATTTGAAATCTCTAAGGCAACCACCGAAAACTGATTTGGCACCCTTAAAATACAAAATTTGAAACATGTACATGCACACTATTTTGAAACTATCCTTAAATCGCAATTTAGGGAATTTTTGCAGATATAACTAATGTAAAATTGAAATGCAACCTAATCTTTGTAAGGGGAATGAAGAGTAGCACTCTAGAAAGATTATACGAAAGTACCATGGAAATGAAAACAAACCGGTAATATTCTTGAAGCAAACGGAACAAGATCTGAAGGAAGTCCACCAATATAAATTGGTGGATGAGTATCAACTGCATCTGTTCCAGGTGGTGATTGTCCATTTGCCTCAATCACATCATCAATATATAACGTTCCTGCAACGCCTTCGCGTTCCGCTCTTATGCTATGCCATTCGTCATCCATCACACTTCTGTTTGATTTCAGGACGGCCTAGACGTTATATTGGACTTAAATTTGATATTTATATGTGTCATCAATTATAAGTAGCTATGTACTTGGTAAGAGTCAGATATAATTTAGAGGAATAAAATTACTTGTCCTGATCCTGAATTATAAGCAAAATGAACAATGCCATTGACAAGATAAAGAGCTAGATGATCAGTATGCTTATTATTTGTTGTAAACATGATTATTCCATTCGATGCCGTAGCTCGTAACTGCACAGAGAATATGCTACTATAAATTCGCAATATTATTAAGACCAAACGAACAATTAAATTTTTCTTTATCCTCTTTCCACATTTTATTCTAACTACTATATGCTATTTGAATACAAAGAGAAAGAAAATTTCTACTCATCATTATCCGATGAATCATTCAATACAAACAATAGCTTAAAAACATCATGCTAACTTCTTATCAAACGAAGCAGGTGGCTTTTCAAATTCAAGGCGTGACGAAACAGACAAGCCAAATCGAGTACCGCCAGAATCTGGACGTTCTCCATACGATTTTCTCAAAAGTGCACATTCATCTGGTTTACGAACAACTGCTTTTGGATGCGAAGCAGACGACATCTCTACAGAGATTTTCTAAAAAATATTGTACGTTGCACAAAACAACCACCAGTTCAAGTTTGTACTTGTATTCGTAAATCGTGAGTTTACCATCAAAAATATACAACAAACTAACATTTTCTGCAGTAAATTCATCTAATGCATCTGTTTCCAGCTGCACGTTGCTTGATGCAGGTTTAGCAAAATTCAGAGGTTCACCCGTCGGTAATTCTGCAGGAGACATGTATGTAGCAAAAATATCTTCGGGAAGTGAACAACCAGTTAGACTCACTTCCTGCGTTGATCCCTGCACTTTCAATAAGTATAAATAAAGGCCTTAAATGAACGATTGTAAACAAATTTATAACTGGTAATTTTTGTTCAAGTACACGATATCCATAATGCAAAGTAGGAAATGATACTTAAACTTCTTTTCACTTATATTTTTTTAGGTTATTGATGGTCTGATGTATTTCGTTAGTGAGTCTGGTATAAAAAGAAACTGACAAGAGCAAAATCAAGTAGTTGACCATTGTATGTTGCATCCCCAATACAACCTTCAAAATGCATATTGGAATCAGTTGATCGACCAAAGTGAATAATGGTTGGTATACCGATAACCTATAATTTTTAGGAATAGGTGTAGAAATCAAAATGCATCAATAACTTGAAAAGAATCAAAAGGAAATTCATTCAAGTTATTGACTAGTGACCCATGAAACATGAGATAAAAAACCTCGTTATCATCAACAGTTCTATGCACTTCATTCGAGTACAGATCATCTACATCCAATCGAATGGTTTTCGGTTTCACGATAACTGCAAAGTAATGCCACTGACCATCTGCAACTGATCTGAATTCAATCCTTGCAAGATCTTTATTGTCTGACCCATATTCAGCCAAAAGAAATCCATCTTGGTAACGTAGTTGTAGTAAAGTCTCCTTCAAAAGCATAAATATAATTTATTAACGCAAAAAAACTGTAGAAGAGTAGTTTCTCATGTTTCCATAAGTAATTTTTCATACCTTTTTCTCACATCTCCCTGTAATTCCGAATTTTAATATTTGACTTTTTAATCCAGAAAGATGGTTAAATGATAAAAAATAAATTATTTCCAACACATAATTTTTAGAACTTTATTGATAAGAGATAACCTGTTCATCAGAAATGACTGATGCTAGAATACCAGAAGGTCGTTTAGTTTTAAAACGCAGTGTTAGCTCTATGTCATTCTTTTTCGAATCAAAACCAGTGAAAGCAGCAGTAGAACGCTCAGATACCATGGATACAATACGTACGGTTCTAGTGCTACAGCCTGGCTGCACTCCTTTCGCGGTTTTCGACTTGCTCAAATCCAATAAGCGATTTTCTAGTTTAACATGTTCAACACATCCACTCATCGGAACCACAGCTGTACGGCTGGAAAAAAGAGAATTCTCACAAAAAGTAAATAATTTTTGAAAACGGGTTTCGATTTTTTTAAAATACATCATGATAATGGAATGAATGAGCTAACCTTGTAATCAAAAACATTAGACTTCTAACTGTTGACTATGTAAGTAATTCAATAAGTATTTAACAGAATTCAATTGAAAATTATATATATATATATATATATATATATATATATA